GCGCGTCAAGCGGCGACGTTATCACTCCGCCATAAAAGCAAGAGTGCCACTGGATCACAGGGTGTATACAACTTTCAAAACAAGCCAGGCCTCTAATTCAGGTATAATGGGACTGTTAGGAATAAGGCAAATCGATGAGATTACTATATTAGCATTGAATATGCTTTGAAAAGATCAATAAATCTTTAATAAGAACTTAGTTATCTTAGGTCTCTTAAGAATATGTAAGACTGATAGTCAAATTTACAATATTCCATTTCCACTAAACTTTGTCTCTCAAAAACCCTTCCCATTCAGGCTGAACTGCAGTTTAACGGGATCAACCTATAAGGTCGAAACTGTGGTCTACCCTGGAAGACAGGGCTATGCGAAATTTAATGAATTATAGAGGTCTAAACATTTAACTGCGGGAAATTTAAGTATCAGTCATACATCATCTTACGTGACCAAGGTTAACCAAAACTCCTATTCAGGGTATTCTAATGGTTCCTGAACATAAGTAATATAAAAAATTATTTCTTTTTTTCCTATGCTATTCCAATTCTACCCAACACTACAGAGGGAAATACTCAGGGGAATTATATAGGAAATAGGACTTGAGCATTCATAAACGAAAACCTTACCTCCTATTAAATAATTAAATTCATGGCTGAGTAGGGAGACGGATAAAGGGCGAAGGTAAATTGAGTAGTGGGTTAAAAAACAAAATAATAACATTTCAAAATTACCATTAGAATTGAATAGGAACTCGAGTCACCTATGATCACTTAAGGTAAGATAAGGAATGATAGCTGGATTTTGCACAATGGTGTGATCAAAAAACCCTCAGGATGCCTTCATTTATAAAATACGCTCTTATTCAGAGTTGGCTGCAATTCCGTCCTAGCCTAGGTATAAGAAAAGTCTCAAACGAGATTCGAAACATATTCATGAAAGTAAAAGGGCAACATAAATAACCAAGCAACATAGCCACGAGTGCCATTTGGCCACAGGGCAAACACCATAACTAAGGCAAGCCAGGCTTCGCCCAATTCCCCTAAAAGGACTTATTGATAAACCAAACTTGTATTTTCAATTATATTCTATGGTATCATTATGTGCCAAGTATGCTTCGAAACCATCAATATACATTATGTAAGGACTAGTCACCTAAGGTTTCTTAAGATTATGAAAGATTGATAGTTGAATCGAATGTAGATTCAAGATTTATTGAGTCTCGAAATCTACTTGTTTGGTACATAGTAATGTCGTAGATTGTAACGACAACAGTACTACAATACCTATTGTAATATCTGGCTGTTGCAGTATTCAAGTTGCCGAATGACGCGTACAGCCCAGTTGCTAAAACAAGTTAGATATATTAATGATACCTAGGTGAGGAAGAACCTTTGAGCCAAGCCTTCTACAAGATTAAGGCAAATTTAACGACACCCAGTAATTCCATTAAATGAAGTTTGACTAGCACACCTTGCATTATCTTGCATTTAGAAAACTGAGGCAGATTGGACTTAATAAAAAGGAAAAGTTAGAAGTACTTAAAGAATTAACGAGTGAGAGAAAGCTTACGCGATCCAGATTGTCTTTTATCTCATGCTCCATCAGATCCAGTCTGGCGGAGTACAATTCATGTGGGGATGAATTAGATATGGACTTGTTCTGAAGTTGCTGGGACCTCGGAAGGATTTTGACTGCTTCTTCATAACGTGAAAGAAGATCCGGAAGAGAATGAAGAATCGCCTTGGTCTGAAGATAAAGAGTCTCTCTTCCCGAACCATGTCGCATGTCCATTGAATCAAAGATATTTATTTGAACTGAGCTGTAAAAAAAAGAGAAAAGGGAAGAAACACGAGATGAAGCAGTTTAGGAAATGTCCCATCTAAAAATCCTCTGAATGGTGCTAAAGCGAAGTCTAAATAAAAGAAAGTCAGAGTCTAAGCAAGAGAAAAATTATGAAAATTTGCAAGTAAAAATACTAGCGAAGTAAACTAAATAGTGAGTTACAAAAAGAGAATATGAGCTAGCACAATATGACCTTCAGCAATAAAATATCAATTCACTGTTGAGTCTAATGGAAAAAACATGATCTCACATCATTACGAAAGCCCACAACAAAGTTGAGCTTGAGGCCATTTTGCGTCGAAAATAAGGCCTATCGAGTAAATCGGCATGGATATGATCGTGTAGCTTAAAAGTCAATGGACATGGATATTAATCGGCACACACACGGTGTGAATTCCGTTGGGGGTGCTGATGAGACATAGCTGAGATGGAAACCGCAATATGCCTGGGATTAAAAATAGCTTTTGGAATACGCTGTAAAATGAAATACAATAAAAAAGTAAGCCTTCTCTCTCATTAATCGTTGGAGGAGTCCCTAAGATTTCCTAAAACACCATTAGAAACCGGTAAGCATAAAAAATAACCAGATGCCTAAGAACTATAAACAACCCTTTAACGAGATAAAATGTATAATTAAATATTATCTATAGTTGCGTTATTATGCAACAATTGATTTTTTTATATGAGTAGCTGACAATAAAATGTATGGAATAAGTGGTATAAAGGAAGCAGTAATAAAAGGTTAAAGTTCATCTCCTTACATTAAGAATTATCTTGCTTTGAAACTTTAGGTAAAGGAAATAACGAAACGTCAAAAGCCAGATTCTTGCTTCCAACTACAAGTTACACATGTCATTAAATCAGTTGATACAGCCATAGGTTGATCCGTCATATATTGTTTTTTGAGGCCTTGTATTAGGAGTCATTCATGGTACATAGTAAAAGTTTAGTATGATTTTCTATTAGGAAACGGCAAATTCGATAGTCATCATAATGCTTTTTATTTCTACCACTAGTAGTAGTGAAAGTTCTAGTGGTAAAACTTAGCGATTTTCATGAAGATTATTATACTGGTGGGACCGGAGATTCTGCCATCAATATGACAGAACTGTCTTCAGATAGAAAGTTTCGGCTAGAAAGTAGTATATGCGAAGTGAAGTTGGGTTTAGGGGAGTCTGTTGGTATGCAAGTGAAAAATGAGTGAGTGTGTGAAAATGAGAGTCTAAGGTCGATCCCACCAGAAGACGACAGCAAGCTAATCATGGCAAGTTGTCGGTTGGCTCTACTATGCAATCCTAATTGAAGCCGTCTATGAAGGATTCTTATTCCATTCCGATGAAAACAGCCTAAGATTAGCTATCATATGAAAATGTATCATTCTACCAACCTATTTAAAAAAAGTGAAGAAAAATTGACTCTGCTCTAATAACGTTCTTTATATGACGGACGAAAGCACAGCACATTTTCACCTGAATTAGAGGAGCAAGCTTCGGTGACAGTGTCAACCAGTATGTTTTGTAAAGCCAACTGACAGCTTGCCAAGAGATTACCGTCTTCTGTGATGGGGTCGACCTTTGAATCTCTTCATCACACATTTTTATCCATCATTAAAAGGTAGTATACACTCATAAAGTGAATAAAATATACAGATATTAGTGTGCAAAGAAAGGCATAATAGATAAATAATAAGCCATTAGTAATAATACAGGATCACACTATAGCAAATGATCAGGCAATCAAGAATTGATCTTGTAGATGGTCCGCAATAAAGGTGTGATCTTACAATTTTGCACAAATAGATGACCTGTGATATATGAATCCTAAAAACGAGTTAGATGTCCATATATCAGAGACAATTGAACGTTAAATTGATAGGTTACAGGCAATGATATGTATACACACTTAGAAGGATTGGAGAGAAAGCTCAATTGTGAATTCAATTTTCGTGTGCCATGCATGCCAAAATAAATTCGCTTTGAGAGGCATGGCGATTAGATGAATAATGAAGTTGAGAGTTTAGTTCAAATTGTTTGAGCCAAGTAGGTTCATGGATCCAAAAATATATAATACAAATGAGATAAGGACAATTTATAATAACTAATGAACTGAATCAAACGCCATGCAACAATGGTAGGCATATCTGTGGCATAATTATACTCAATTAACTTCCAATGTAATTTTTTGAGGAAGATAAAACGGCTGAGATTAAGTTAAATTGATACCTTTCAGTAAAAGAAAAAAAAACCGAGTCAAAATGATGAGAGTTTTACAATTTTTATTCAACAAGAGACATAATATTTATGGAGCATATAGATGCAAATGTATGCCGATTTGGCCTCGATCGGGATTGATAAAATCACTTCAAATAATTATAGAAAAAAAATTACTTGCAAGACATAACTTCATAGTGGGTGCTACCAGCTTGCGCTAATG